TTGACGTAGTCCAATGAAGAAGAGAAGAAATGAGAGTGTGTCCAGCTATTTGAAATTCCCGCGTTCCTTTTGTTCGATTCATTTGCTCGTTTGTTTTTTTTCCCCCTTTCTCTTTCTCTCTCTCTCTCTCTTTTTTTTTTCAAGTGTAAAAATTAAAATAAAATACCGAGACAACAACACCCGAGGGAAAATGGGAATGTAAATAATCCGAATATCTCTCTCTCTCTCTCTCTCTCTCTCTCTATAATAATATTCGATGAAAGATTTTTATTTTTATTTTTTATTTTTATCAGCAATTACAAATTCCCTAACGAATCCCTCTTTTGGTCCATTTTTTTTCTTCTTTTGTTTTTTTTGTTTTTTTTATGAAAAGATATTCAAACAAATAATTCCGAATATATTTATTTTTATCACAATTTTATTTCACGTCTTATAGAATTATTTCAACTAGGGAAATAAAATACACGAACTTTTGTTCTTTATTAAAAATGTAAAAATAAAACAAACGATGGGCATTAAAAAAACCCATTTTTAAAAAAATACCAAAAACATTCTACAATACATGCGTATTGTCAATCAAGTAAAAAAAAAAAAAAAAAATAAATGAGCAGTCGTTCGTTAAAAGTTCCAAACGTTGAAAATCTTACCCCCTTCGTCCAATATTTTTCTTAGCACGGTTTACAGATCGTCAGTAATTTCTTAAGTACTGGAAACATTTTTTTTTATTTTAGAAAAATTTTTAAGTAGAAGAAGAAGAAATAAAGATGACGTTCAACGTTAAGCTACGATTAAAAGTTGTACGGTCAATTAGTATAATAACCGATGTTAAGACTAATAATAGTTGACCAACTTACATCAAAGATATTGTCAGTTGTATCAATATTTTTTTTGCAAAAAAAAAAAAAAGCAAAAAAAAAAACAAAATAAAAACAGAAAAATAAATCATATCTCGAATATAACTCGTCAAAAAGTTTACGAATATTTTGAATCTTAGTGAAAGTAAACAAAATTAATACAGTCGAATGCAATTCAATTATTGGAACAAAACAAACCACCCCTTTTCCTCTCCCTCTCAACCCCTCTTTCTCTTGATTGTTACATTCCTTAGAACAAGTTGGTAAAATTCTTCAACAAGACATTCTCAAGGCATTTAGCTAGGTAAACTCGGCCATTTTCGAACAGCGGAAAGTTAAATACCGTGATGGAATCTTTCAAAGAGAGAGAGAGAGAGAGAGAGAGACAGAAAGAGAGAAGAAATTCCTTCTCTCTTCGTCGTTGAAAGGATCGTAGTATACTAAAGAATATAAATACACCCCTCACATCCTCTTTTAAAGTGCATTTAGAAAATTATTTATAGAATATTAACAAATTAGTTACGACTTGTTAATAGTCAAAAATTATTGCTTTTTTTTGTTACCTAAAATATTTATTATAAAAATATACGATACAAAAAAAAATATCACGTAATTCGTTTGCTAAGGGTTGAATATTATTTTTCATATTTTTAACAATTTTCAATTAAAATTATATTTAAAATTATATATATATATTAATATATAATATATAACAATATATATTAAATAATATATAATATTTATTATAATATAAATAAATATAATATTAAATATTTGTTATATTAAATAATTAAATAAATATTATATAGATTATAATTTATATTATAATTTCATTTAATTTAAAAAAAAATCTAATCTTCTCCTTCTTTCTTTTTTTTTTGCTTTCACTTCAAACTTTTCAACAGTTCAACAGTTCTAAAAAAAAACCTCTAAATCTTTTTTTTCTTTCTGTTTTTTTCCCTTCCATTTTTCCCTTTTATTTTTCCTTCATCCCTTTAACTATAGTTTCGCCAAGTAAACAGAATCGAAAGACCAACAACGTTGTGAGACAGTAATGGTTAATCTCACTATTTTCTATCTCTCTCTTACTCTTAGTAGAATCTTCTTCTTCTTCTTCTTAGGAAGCTTGGGATCAGCTAAGTAGTATAGGTCGATGTACGCGCAGCCACGATACAACACACTGGTTATACTACTGTCTAGTGAAAAATGCACGAAAATCCGGGTAAACTTTATCTATATACGCTTAGCCAGCACAAAAGTACATATATATATATATATATATATATATATATATATATATATATATATATATATATATATATATATATATTTGTGTGTGTTTATATGTATGCGTGTATGTATGTATGTTTTATACTATCCACGACGACTTATATACAATACATTTATGTTTCCTTTTTCTTTTTCTGTAACTTTATGTCAAGACTTTCCTATTTTGTGTAAGAAGAAGATGGTTTTTGAAATATCAATATATATATATATATATAAATTTTGAATCATTCTAGTAACATGCTTTTTCATTGGTCAAAATATAGAAATAAAAAATAAAATAATTTAAAATAATAATTGTAAAAAAGTCAATTAACATATTATAATATTTTAACATATTCAAATAAATAAATAAAAAAAAAATATATATATATATATATATATATTATAATAAGTATGACGAATAATAAAGAATTAAATTAATAAATAAAATTTAATTAATAAGTTTAAAGATAATGAAATTATAGAAAATACGATTTTTCAAAAGTAACATAAAACACAATAATAAAATATAATTTAAACAATAATAGAAATTAACGATTATATCCTATTTTACTTTATCAAATGATACTTTTAAATAAACATTAATAAATACATTAAATATCAAACGTTACACATTAAACGAATATTAATTTTTTTTTTTTTTGATATGACCCTTAAATAAATGACGAGTTACGAACAAAAAAAAAACAAAAAAAGAAAGAAATAAAGATTAATTTTTCTTATCTATACACAAACACATATATATATTTCATTTTTTATAAGAGCCAATAAGCATCGTTGGATTTAGCACGTTACTCGACTTCGAGGCAGACTTAATCTTTCAAGCTGATTACAAGCCTTGCGAGCGTGTAAATCCGTTGTAGTTGTTGCACTGATGTACCTTTCCTCTTCCTCCCTTCTTTCTGGTCAAGCCCTTTTCATCCCTATCCTCATTCATCCCCTGTTTCCTTCCTTTCTATCATCCTCTTTATCATTCTTTCTCTTTCTCTTACTTTTATTTTTCTCTCTATTCTCTTTCTTTCTCTTGTTCAGTAAGCCTACTTACGCAGACTAACGCAGCCAATCGTCGTCGACTGTACTAATCCAGGAATGTTTTCCGGCTAGATCCATTATCGGCTTAAGACCAACTCACTTTATATCTATCTATCCATCTATCTATCTATCTATCTCTATCTCTATTTCCTATCTCTGTCTTTTGTCTCATACTACATCAAATGGATCACGTTCAACAACGTATATAACAGATTTCTCTTTCTATCTTATCTGTATCTAGATCATTCCTCACTTCCTCACACTCTCAATTTGTACCCTTACGATCCTACCAATCAGATTCTACTTCTACCACCATTATTAACCTATTCCACCCCTAATCACATTGTTAATTCTTGTATTACTCTGTCACTAACGTATTACTTTGGAAATTAAATAAAGAAAAAAAAATAAACAATAGTAGTAGGATAAAATACTTTGATTTTTTTGTTTTATATAAATGTATATGAATATAATATTATATTTATTAATATTAATTTATAATTATAGTAAATAAATTAAATTAATATTAATTAATATTATATTATCCCTATAATTTATATAATACCATATCTAAAATATAGGTATTATATATTT